AGGGTGCTACAGCTGAACGGTTTTTTTCTAAGTGTGTGTGGATGTACTTCATTCATTACGCCTCGGCTAAATACATTGGGTCATACCAATGTAGGTCACCAATCAGACATCAAAGATGGTCGCAGGATTTCCATCGCAGTCGTTGAAAATCAAACTGGGAAACCAGGCCGCCTCATGTTTCAGTCGCTACGATATTCTGGATATCGCGATACACATACATTTTGTAATGCGCTACTCATAAGGTTGCCTGGAAACAGCAAAACGGTGAGATTCAGCTGGGTTCTAAGTGAGTCTCACGAAAAACCAAAGTAGTTTGCAATTGAGTGTACATTCACTAATTCCGTGCAATTTGGTTTCAAGTAGAACATGAGGTTGACGGAAACTCGGGGACTATGCCTACCTGATGAGCCCCAAGAAGGGCGAAACCGGTCGTGGGCTGTCGACGAATTCTTAGCAACCTCGAGTTTTCTGGAGGGTACTTTCTGGAATTATGCCTCGAAAAATACGGAGTCTTCCGACTAAAATGTTATCATAGGAGAGGAATTCTGACCTTGTATTTTAATCTCAAGAAAACTCAGCGACCTATAGAATGCACCCGCACAGTTGTCCTCGCCTACACAGTATGTCAGGCCGCCATGCTTCCTTCGAGGTGCACGGCAGCTAATCGCCGAAAAAGTGCAAGAGCTGGACGACTATTTTTCATTTTATTTTTCATATTTTGAACTTGCCTCCCATAAATATGTAGGGATGCAAGAAATTTCACGGCGAAAAAAGGAAGAGAAATCGAGAGTGACCACTTACTGTGTAGAAAACTTCCGGGACAAATTGGTCTTTGGTGGTTTCCCGAATGTAGCCGAATTCCGGCGCATCGTACGTCGGCACGAGGATGTTGTCACGAACCAAGACCATGGCTTGATTGGACACCTGGTAGGCTTCGAAATGAATGTCATTGGAAGCGTCCCCCGTCACAACGACGGTGACAAACTTGGATCAGAATCACCCGTCTGAACTGTAACGGCATTTGTTCGGGTAAAGATTTTGAAGACAGGCAGCAGTCACACACTCTTCGGCACTAAGGAAGAAGGTATCCTTAAAAAAGTGGAAGAGGGAATCATGAAAAATTGTGGAACCCTCATTAATACAACGGACATACTTCGTGAAAAGTGTCCACCTACCGAAAATGACAAAAATTTCACTTAAAAATAATGTTCAACGACCAACACGTTGGTAAGGAGAGGACACAAACGGCGTATTTTTGCATGAACAACAGGGGTACTCTCAAAAAATTACCTGGTTGTCAGAGGAACATTGGTCTCAACTCGGCATCGACGGACAGCCTTCTAGATTACTAAATAACCACCAGCAATATCATACATTGCGTACACAACGACACCTTTGGCAGAACGCGGAAATTTTCACTTCCATCTGCTCTAGAGGACCATCCTCTAACAGAGGTAAAAATGAGGTGTTTCCGGCCCCCAAAAAGAGCAGACGTACGTCCAAGAAGAAACATCAAAATCAAGTCAAGGCTATCTTCCAAAGCGCATGCAACCCGAAGGAAACAGAACGTGAGCTGAGCTGCTGACAAAATGTCGGAGCCTAGAGAGGGGTGGTTTCGCGTACGGACCCATCGATCAGCAATCTCGAGTTCTGAGCATCATAGCGGGAAACTTTCAAAGCACTGGCCCGAATTCACCAACCAGATGTGAGTTAAATCTCTAATCGAACACTAGCCATACAAGACTTGATTGGGTCATTACACAAACAGCTTCGCGTGTCGCAACCAGTCACCACCGGATGAAGCAACGTACGGCAAAGGGATACGCACCATTTTTTGTCAGAAAGCGTCCAGACACGAAAAGTACACGTGCAAAGAACGACGCGTCCCTAAGGTCACCATCGGTACTACACGCTCTGAATAGCGGGTGGCTTAGCAGCACGCAACTAGCGGAGTGGGTGTGAAAATGTTCACGGCAGGAACGCCGCGATTGGTTGGACATATGACCATATTTGGCCATTCAGGCATCGTGTTTACGCAGTAGTAGTTGTCCTGACAATACAGCTAGCTGTGTTCCTGCTCTGGTCGCGAAGTCTGACAGGCCCATTTCATAGGTAACGAATGGGCGCCCACCTATAATACAACATTTTCCGATCAGCGCTATTGTTTATCCGGTTACGTTTAAATGCACGTTCACAAGTAAACAACTCGTTTTGCAATCATAGAAAGTCAAAGTAAAAAACTAGCTGACAAGGACCGATGACCATCATACGTTGTGTAATAACAAAAGAACCAACAACGGTAAACAGAGTGTGCTAAACGTCCGGAAACGTCATATTTGACGTGTATGTACGCCTTGTGGCCGAGGTATTGGCAGCCGGCATTCAGCAGATACTTGAAAATGATTGGCTGTTGGATTCCTGTTTTCTCGCCATGACGCTGGATCGTACGTTGTGTAACAACAAAAGAACCAACGACGGTACGTAAGGTGTGCTAAACTCCCGAAAACAGGTCAAAACGCCATACACACAACGTCATATTTGACGTGTACGTACGCCTTGTGGCCGAGGTATTGGCAGCCGGCATTCGGCAGATACTTGAAAATGATTGGCTGTTGGGTTCCTGTTTTCGACCAATAAGGGCTCGCCATGATGCTGGGCCAGCAAGAGGCCTGAACACCTGATCAAGCGCGTACGAGTTAGGCTTACTAAACGCTGCAGTGCCTGACTTCAAGGGGTAAGGTGTTTTGGCAAACGACTCCGCCCAACACCTTGCATTCTTGTCTCAGTAATGCGTACACTCGGATATTTGGGGCAGTATCAGTCACCCTCCCGAACGGCTGAAGTAGAGGTCATCATCTACTTGGATAATGCTCGCGAAGCGACCCTGACAAGAAAGGACCTGTTTTCAAGACCAAGATCCAATCTTTCATTCAATTCAGAAGGGGTTTCGCACTCGCAAGCGTCTGTGGAAAGTTTCGTGCTGAAGTCTGCGCACAGGCAGGAGAGATCCGCCGTGTAAGCTATGCAACTGTTCGACTCGATTTACGCTGATGGTTTCGGTACATTCTTCTCAGCTGGCAACTGGACATACTTAGAGTAGTTCTTGTAGTGAAATCGTTCTTCGCGGGTTCGTGTCCTCGACCAGGTGAGCGAGTCCGACGCTGAACGCCCGGGTGTGTCCATTGAATCGACTTCTGCAGCAGCTTCGCCACCGATCACCGCAACTGAGAAGTGTGGTTCGAGATGTCCAGCACGCCTGTTCACCTCAACGTAGTCAAACGGCAAACGGTGGGCAAAGCAAGACTTTCACAAGCCAGTGATTAAGAAACATACAGACAGCTTCTTTCTTCCAGATGAGTGCACTTCCCCTGGTTCCATAACGGAAGTATTAAATCAGCAGGTTTTATATTTCGA